AGAACATGCCTTTGAAATCCTGTGGCCTTCCCACTGTGTCTCTGTCTCTAGTCATTTTCTTACAGGACAGCGTGATGTTTGCTTAAGAGACCAGCCTACCCCAGGATGACCTCACATTATCTAATTACACATGCAACAATTTCACACCAAATAAGGGCATGATCTGAGGTACTGGAGGCTAGGCCTTTAACAGATATTTTTATTTTTTGGGGGGGGGCACACAATTCAACTTGTAACAAATGGCTAAAATGATGTTATTATGTTTATTCCTATGTATTTCAATGTGATTAAAGAGCTTTCTTTTCATGTTTATTGCCTATTCATATTTTTTTCTGATTTTTCAATTGGGTTGTAAATATTTATACTTTAAGGAGATCTCTGTAAGCTGAGGAAGCAGAAGTCTCTTGTACACTGTGTGTGCTTTTAATACGTCCTCAGCTTGTCTTTTGTCTTTCAACCTCACGTATATATTATACATGAATAATTTAAAATTATATGTAATCAAATTTTTGTCTAGTTTAGTTTTGCTTGAAGGCTTCTTAAGTTTTAGTTGGAAATGTCTGCTTCACCCCCAAGTTAATCAATAAAACCACATCTGTCTTTTTAATTCCATCTTTTGTCCATCTGGAATTGGTTTCGGCATTTAGATGTAATGTCCCTTTTTTTCACAGTTAATGATTTGAGTAGCCGATTGTCCTGGTAACACTTTGAATAACCTGTCTCTTCCTTTCCCCTCATCTGAAGAGAACACCATGTTCTTCTTGGGTTCATTTTCTCTCTCTTCTGTAATAGAAACTTGTTTTGACTTTTGCAGCTTGTCATCTGTTTTTAACATGTGAAAGGACTATTCTCCTGTGAAATGCTTATTCCTAAATATTCCAAATGAATTTTGGCATTGTATGTGATAGTTTGTTGAATTTTAAAATATCAGGAAAACTAGTATATTTAAAATAACCCCCCAGCACATGAATTATGGTCTTTAAATACCCCGTCTTGGTAAAAGAAAGTAGGGCTACTTGGAGGTATGACTAATTATGAGGCAAGAATACATACATACATACATACATACATACATGGGATCTTAAGACATCTTTCAGAACAAGTAGTAATAAAATGAGTAGCCCAAAAGGTCACAGGTTCCATTCCAGGCCCAGGGCAGATGCCTAGGTTGCAGGCTTGATCCCCAGTAAGGGGTGTGCAAGGCAGCTGATGATGTTCTCTCTCACATCAATGATTCTCTCTCTCTCTCTCTCTCTCTCTCTCTCTCCTTCTCTCTCTAAAATCAATAACAATATTTTTTTAAGAAAAAGAAAAGAAATAAGTAAAGTCTACCAGGGTTATGGCAAAAGCATTCAAGAATGAATTGGAAGGTGCTGACACTGGCCAGTCAGGACAATCTCACTATCAAAAGGACAATAGTTACAATAAATTTGGAACATATAACACCACACAACAACAATAATGTCAACAGCAACAAATTAATTGGCCAGCATTGGAGGATGCTAGCAAGTTAACTGATTATTTTTAAAAGGAGAAAAGAGAATGAATCAAGAATTAATCTTGTCTTTCTACATAAACCATACCACTGGGTAATCAAACAGGAAATGAGAGAAGTTTCTCTTTATAAACATTTTCCATCCAACAAAGAAAGAAGGAAGGAAAATAGAATAGCATTGTTCTCTAAGGCATAATAAATTCATGAGCTTGGGCATTAATTATCAGCTAAAAGAGAGGCAACCACACATTATTAATGGAAAAACATGACCAAAGACAAAATAATCTTACAAGAAAATAAAGAGCCTGAATTAGATCAAACCTCTATATCTAACTAGCAATTTATACTAACTATAGACCCAAACATGTTTACACCACAGAGTACAGTCAACAAAATTCAACCGTGGAAAAACCTTAAAAGACAAATTATCTTTTTAAACTGCAAGTTGTAGGCTTTGTCTTCTAATGCAAAGGAGCAAACTGGAAAAGTATATAACATTTATAAAACAATTGGAAATTTGAGCACTGACAATATTATTGGGTGTGTTTAAAAATTATTTTTTAACCCTGTCCAGTTTGGCTCAGCGGTTAGGGCATCGGCCCACAGACCAGAGTCAAGGGCACGCACCTCGGTTGCAGTTTGTCCTTGGCCCCGGTTGGGGTCATGTGGGTGGCAGCCAATTGATGTGTTTCTCTCACGTTGATGTTTCTCTCTCTCTCTCCCCCTCCTTCCCACTCTATCTGAAGATCAATGCAAAAATGTCCTCAGGTGAGGATAAAATAAATAAATAAAAAATAAAATAAAACTATTTTTTTATCAATACTTAGTGAACTATTTAAGGATAAAACAATAAATCTCCCATTTGCTTCAAAGTAATATGAGGTGGGGAATGGGTGGACATAAATATGAAACGATTAGTCACTAGTTGATAATTATTGAATCTGATACATGGTAATTAATTCTCCCTACTTGGTGTACATTTAAACTTTTCTATAATAAATTATTGAGTTTTCCTATCCAAGGTGTTGTCTTTTCTTTCATGTGTGTGTGTGTATTTCTAGTCTTAGAAGAGTTTGAAAGATTTTTTTTATTCTTAAATTTACTTCTGCGGATTTTATCTTTTTGTTTGCTACTGTAAATGGAATCTTTCCAGCAATACTTTTATTTTCTAACTGGTTGTTTGCATATAGGAAAGTTATTTGTATACAGTATTATTAAGTAAGTCCCCTATTGAGTTGTTGTTCTCAGATATTTTTATAGCATTGATTTTTCTATGTGTATAATTGCTGTACACTGAATGTGTGTACCAACCCACCCCTCCCCCCCTCAATTCATATGCTGAAACCTAAAAGTGATGGTGTTAGGAGGCTGGACCATGGGAAGGTGATTACATCATGACAGTGGGCCTCTCATGGAGAGAATTGGTGCCCTTATGGAAGAGACCCCAGAGTTCTGCTTAAAACCCTACTTCTTCAATTTCCCGTTTTACGTAATACCCTGCTGAGGAAAAACGAAGAAAGTCTAGCCACATCTTTCCATATTCTTGCACGCATCCTCATTTTCCATCTGGTGTTTTCCTGTTCTTTATAACATCGCTGTAACCCCGAGAAACAGCGGGCATATATCTAAGTCGTTCATGGCCCCTCTGATGGTAGGCAAACAGGGGGTCAGCTGCCACCCCACTTAGATGAGGTAGGTCATAAGTTCAGACCTTGCGAGACTATGAGATTTAGCTGGGGTCCTTGGGCTTTTAGTTAACGCTGTTACTGGATAGGGCTTTGGGGGACACTGCCTTCTGCATGTGGATGGCCGTCAATCTCTGGGAACCCCAGAGTGCACTGTGGTGGGTAGAGGCAGAGCCTCCCAGGGAGGTTCACATTCTCATTTCTGGAACCTGCAAACGGGACCTTCAATGGCACAATGGACTTGCAGGTTCTTCTAGTTCCAGAGCTTGAGAAAGGGGCGGAGCTTGGGTCGCGCAGGTGCATCCAGTTTAAGCCCGCGGTGTCTTCAAAGCAGGACGGGCCCAGCTGCTGGCTTCGGGGACCGGAGGCCAGTCTGCAGCTGGGCAGGTGGTGGCCTCCGGAAGGAGGCTGGAAGTGGCCTTCAGTCTGTTCAGTTTCCAAGAAGACGGGGACCTTGGTCCTGGCAAACCAAAGGGCCAGGGAACCACCCCCACCCCCACCCCCAGAAAGGGATGGAGCCCGGCGGATGCGGTTCAGCTCGGGGAGGCTCGGACCGAGTCTGGGGAATCGGAACCAACCGGGTGGGTTTAGGACACCATCGGTGTGACTCACTGTGCACGCAAAACACACACCTTTTACATCAGAAAAGGTTTAAAAATACCAAGAGTGGGAGAAAGGGTGACACGAGCCCCTGCACGCTCCCGGGGGCACCTCTGGGCACACACGGGCCAGCCCGGCCGTCCTCGTGACCCGGAGCCGCCGGGCGCCTGCAGGGACCACGCGTGAGAACACCCGCGGGGGCGGGAGCCCGCGGGCACGTCCACTGTCCGCGGAAGGGCGCCTGCCCCGTGGCCCCGTTCCCGACCCCGAGGCGCTCTGCTCCGTCCCTGCTCCGACCGGCCCACTTCGGCCTCAGCGCCCCGGGAAGCGGGCGCTGCTCCCCTGGACGCACCGCCTGGGCTGAAAATCGCTTCATTCATGGATCCGCCCAAAACGGGGCGCTGAGGCTCTTCACTGGAGTTTCCGGGACGCCGGACCACGCAGGGGTCATGGACGGGAGCTGGGCGGTGTCCAGGGAGGCCCGCCTGGGAGCCGGGCGCGGGCGGCACTGGGCCAAGCTCACCGCTCAAAGGTCGGCCCCGCCCAAGCCCCGCCCCGGCCCCGCCCCGGCCCCGCCCGGCCCCGCCCTCCGGCGAACGGGGCGCCGAGACTACACTTCCCAGAAAGCAGCGCGGCCCCGAAGGACAGCTCACCGCTCAAAGGCCGGCACCTGCCTGGCCCCGCCCTCCGGCGAACGGGGCGCCGAGACTACACTTCCCAGAAAGCAGCGCGGCACCGAAGGCCAGCTCATCGCTCAAAGGCCGGCACCTGTCTGGCCCCGCCCTCCGGCGAACGGGACGCCCAGACTACACTTCCCAGAAGGCAGCGCGGCGGGGCGGGCGGCACCGAAGGACAGCCCATCGCTCAAAGGTCGGCACCCGCCCGGCCCCGCCCTCCGACTATCGGGCGCGCCCAAACTACACTTCCCAGAAAGCAGCGCGGCGGGGCGGTGCTAAAGATACTGACCACTTCCGGCGGGCTCGGGCGCTTCTGGTTTGAATGCCAGCCGCAGCCCGCACTGGGCCCGCCCCCGCCTCAGTCTGATTGGCTCGGGGCCGTTGTGGGCGGGCGGCTCCGCGGCGCCGGCAGCTTGAATGGAGGCGCGGGCCTCGCGCCCTCACGGAACAGGAAGTCCTTCCCCGGGCGGAGACGTCGCCGCTGCGGCCGCGTCGGCGCGGAGGACTCCGTTTCCCAGGGCGCCGCGGGCGGCGTGGGGCGGCGCCGCCGTCCGGCCAGTGCTCCCGAAGCCCCACGCGGGACTGTGATGGCCGGAGAGATGACGATCCTAGGTGGGTGCGCGCGGCCCGGCCTGGGAGGCGGAGTGGGGCTGCCCCGGGCCGTGCGGGGCGCGGCGCAGTCGCCCGAGGTGCCCACGCGGGGCCGCGGCCGCCCGCCCGCACCGGGACGGGGCTCCCGGGCCGCTTCTCCCGACGGCGCCGCGCTGGTCGGAGGTCGGAACGTGGGAGGCGGGAGATCGCGCACCTGCGGCACCTGCTGCACCTGCGGCACCCGGGCGGGGGAGGGGCGCACCCTCCGTGGCCTCGGGCTGTCTCGGAGCCCGGCCCGGGGTCTTCCCGCCCGTGCAGGGGCCGCCGGACCCGGATGAACGTCCTGATCTGCGCGGAGGGCGGGGGAGGGGCTCCCCTGGGTCTCAGAGCTGCGTGTTCGTGGGGTGAGCGCAGTTAGCCACGGCCGGCGCCCGGGCCTGTGGACGCGCAGGGCGGACCCGCAGGGAGACGAGCCCGGGGGAGACACAGCCCCGGGGTGGGGGGACACAGCCCCGTGGGGGGGACACAGCCCCGCGGGGAGACACAGCCCCGGGGGGGGGGACACAGCCCCGCAGGGAGACGAGCCCCGGGGGGGGGGGACACAGCTCCGTGGGGGAGACACAGCCCCGCGGGGGACACAGCTCCGGGGGGAAGATGAGCGGGGTGGGGGGAGGAGAGACAGCTGGGGGAGGGGGGGACAGCCCCGCAGGGAGACACAGCTCAGGGGGGTGGGGTGAGCCCCGGGGGACATGAGCCCAGGCAACCGGATGACACGGTGACTGTGAGGTGCCACCTGCCACCTGGCTCACGTTTCGGCCGGGCACCTGTTGACGCTGTTTTCCTTGCGGGTTCAGGGGCACCTGCTGTTTGCTGGGAACCTGCCGCCAGGAGCTTCTGTCCTGTGGTCACCCAGGTGGCAGGACACACTGTCATGCTTCCGTAGATGTCACTTCTGCCAGAAGTGTGTCCTTCCTGCGTGTCTGTTGTTGTGAATCCACTGATCTTCCCATTAATTCTTGGGGGGTGGGGGGTGGAGGGAGAAACGGGTGTTGGTTGCCTCCCACACACCCAACAGTGGCAGATCGAACCTGCAACCCAGGCCGGGTGCCTTTGGTGGGCCTGGCTGTCACCCCTCAGTCCTCCCCAGACTGGTGAGCAGCACTGGCCAGGGCCTTAATTGGTTTCTTTTTTTTTTTTCTTTATTGATTTTAGAGAGAGATAGACACATCCATGAGAGAGAACATTGATTGGCCGCCTCCTGCACGCCCCCCACTGGGGAACAGCCCACAACCTGGACATGTGCCCTGACCGGGAATCGAACCTGCTACCTCTTGGTGCAGGGTCGCCGATCAACCACTGAGCCGCACGGGCCAGGCTAACTGATATTTAAATACAGAAAAAGTTAACTGTGTTCTATTATGAAGTGACAGTTTAATATCCAAGCAGCTTTCAAAATCATCCAATGTAGCCACTTCATCTTGTTGAAAGAGAAAAGGAGATAAGGGGATAAAGAAGTTTAACCTTACAGCAACATTATTTTTTGCTGTGGGAATTTTAAAAATGGAGTTTCTTTTTGATAATGATAACTAAAACTATAAAGCTATGGAATCTAAGTATCCATTGATGAAGAAATTGGATTATTTCTAACTCTGGCCCCAGGTGAATGGGTTTTCCTGTCCACATCAGCACAATTGTTATTGAAACATTCTTACTTTCTATTCCTTTACTCACCCACAGTGAAAGACACAAGCAGGTGTGTGGTTTTCTTCTAACCTCATTTTAAAAGCTTTACTGTCACCCGGCTGGTGTGGCTCAGTGGTTGAGTGTCCACCCAGCACCAAGAGGTCACCGGTTCGATTCCCAGTCAGGGCACATGCCCAGGTTGTGGGCCTGATCCTCATAGGGGGGTATGCAGGAGGCAGCCAATCGATGTTCTCTCTCATCGATGATTCTATCTCTCCCTCTCCCTTCCTCTCTCTCTAACATCAGTAAAGGGAACAGAAATTTTAAAATAAATACAAGCTTTACTGTCAGTTTACGTTGTGAAAAATTTGATGTGTGAGAGAAGTGTTACCATCAGTACTATGAAAAATATTTTGAGAGTGCGTTCTTAGTCTTGTTTCAAGGGATGGTATTAAGGGGACTTGAGTCCAGTAACTTAGTGTGTTGTCTGAGTTTGATAAGACGCTCTTTCATTTGCCTGTATTTCAGGATCAGCTGTTTTGACTCTCCTGTTGGCTGGCTATTTGTCACAACAGTATTTACCACTGCCTACACCTAAAGTGATTGGCATTGACCTTGGCACCACCTACTGCTCTGTGGGGGTGTTTTTTCCTGGCACCGGAAAAGTGAAGGTCATTCCAGATGAAAATGGGCACATCAGCATACCCAGCATGGTGTCCTTTACGGACCACGATGTTTACGTGGGGTACGAAAGCTTGGAGCTGGCAGACGCGGACCCCCAGAACACTATATATGACGCCAAAAGGTTCATCGGCAAGACTTTCACCCCAGAGGAGCTAGAAGCTGAAATCGGCAGATACCCATTTAAGGTAAGTAATTAAGCTAAACTCTATTTTAACTTTAGTTCAGCATACTATTTCAATTAACAGCTGATGCGACGCATACGGAAGTTACATTATCTCCTGTAAGGAGCAGCGTCACAGCAGGCCCAGGGGAATTAGTTCACTGCTCCTGGTGCTGTCAGAGACTTGGGGTCTTACCACATTCTTACTCTGCCATCCTTAGAATGTCACCTAATTCTTTCGTTGTAGCAGGAAAGTAAAGAAGCCCCATGTAAGATGGATGGGTGGATGGATGGATGAGTGGATGATGGATGGATGGGTGGGTGGAGTGATGGGTGGATAAGTGGGTGGATGAGTGGATGGATGGGTGGATGATGAATGGGTGGGTGGATGGATGAGTGGATGGATGGATGGGTGGAAGAGTGGATGGATAGATGGATGGGTGGGTGGGTGGGTGGATGGATGGGTGGATGGATGGGTGGATGGATTCTCTGTGTAAGTATATACATGTTGAGTGTATACATATCTGTATACATAACAAATATAAAACCAGGCATGCTGTTTTGTGAGTTGCTTGGAGCTCATCAGCATGTATGGACAGTTAAGTTCACGTCGTTACCCTCATGGTTCTGTGGGATGGCTCGTGGACACGTGGAATCACTGACTTATTGCCCGGTCCCAGTCAGTACACGTTCTATTTGCTCCCTGGTTTCCCACTAATATTGGAGCTTCATTGAACATCCTTGTGCATAGATCTCATGTTCCTCTGACAATTCCTGAATGTGAATTCCAGAAGTAGAACTGCTAGGTCACAGATATGCATGTGCTAAGGCTTTTGGTTTATGCTGACACATTGTTTTAGAATGAATCAGTTTTTCAAATGGAAACTACATCAGCAGGGATAATGGGCTAATATATAATACGGGCTGTCATGGAAACAAGAATATAAGTGGTATTTGATTCTTGGCTAAGAACATGATGAAATACTAACATTATTCTTGCTGATACGCACCAGAGCAGTCATCTGTTACTTTCAGAGGAAGTTAATGTCAAGAAAAAGAAGATACTTAGTCACACACATGATTCAGCAACTGTTATTCCTTATATTTCATCTTTCTTTTTTTTCATTCAACAAACATAATTGAGAATCGTTTGTTTCCAGTTATGTGCTTGGCGATGAGTCTTATTATTCTGCTGTTCTCAAAAACTATGGTGTGGATTCATTTTATAGATTTTAAAGTGTAACTTTTAATAATCTCTAATCATAATAAATGTACTTGATCGATTACAAATGAATTTTATGACCTTGTAAAGGGAAAGGTGAGTTTTAGTGAACTAAGTCCAGTACGTGTGTGCAAGCATGTACGCATATATGTGTACGTGTGTGTATACGCATGCATGCATGTACTCTTACACCTTTACACCCTTCTCCTTCTGCACATGCCGCTCGCAGGTGTTAAACAAGGACGGAGTGGTGGAGTTCTCTGTGACGGGCAACGGGTCCATGGCCGTCTCCCCCGAGTACGTGGGCTCCAGACTGCTGCTGAAGCTGAAGGAGATGGCGGAGAAGTTCCTCGGCATGCCCGTCGCCAACGCCGTCATTTCTGTACCCGCAGAGTTTGATCTGAAACAGAGAAATTCAACAATCGAAGCTGCTAACCTTGCAGGTACTGTCACCCTGCCTGAGTTACATTGTTATCGAGATGCTCTGAGGTGGAAAATCTTCTACAGCAGCCCTGGCCAGTGTGGCTCAGCGGTTAGAGCGTCGGCCTGTGGACCAGAGAGTCACAGGTTCGATTCCGGTCAAGGGCACTGACCTCGGTTGTGGTTCGGTCCCCGCCACCAGTTGGGGTCTTGTGGGAGGCAGCCAGTTAGTGTGTGTCTCTCCCTTCCTCTCTCTCTAAAATATCAATAAAAAGATATATATATATATATATATATTTTTTTTTTTTTTTTTTTAAATCTTCTATAGTGAGATGTATCACTTTGCAAACCACCTAACTGGGCACATAAACTGTGTGGCAGGTAAATTAGATGAATTCTGATACAAGTTTGCAAACAATACTCAAGAAGGTTCTAGCACATGTTCAGTGTGTATATCACGACAACAACCAGTCAGGCACATGACAGATGCTGAGCGACAACATGGACACACCTGAGAAACAAGGTTTTTTTCTAAACTTTCTTAAATGTTAACATGGATATAATGTGTTTTAAAAGTCTGAGGTGGAGGAGAATTCATTTAACACCATTCAACAAATAGTGAGTGTCTCAATGTACCCCTGTTCTCAAGGAACTTATATGCTACAAGACGGAAACAGAAAATCAGCATTAAAGTATCTGGTGGGTCTCACCTTCCACACTCCTGATGTTGGGGGCTGGGTGACTTTTTGCTGTGGGGACTGTCCAGTGCACTAGAGGGTATTTGCAGCAGCCCCAGAAAGTAACATCCTTTGGAAAACAAGGGCAGAATAGGGGACAGGATTACTGGGGGTCAGAGAATGGAGGGATTGTGGGTTTTATTTTAATTTTCTAATTAATTAATTCATTTATTTTTGTTACAGATGTTTCTCCTTTTTTCCCCATTAACACCCTCCTCCCCCTTCCTCCCCGCCCTGTTCCCATAATTTCTGTGGTTTATCTCTCCGCCCCCACCCCCTCTTCTGGGGATTGTCAGTCTGTACCCCACTTCCATGTCTCTGGGACTACTCCGTTCTTCAGACTGTTATGTTCATTATATTCCACAAATAAGTAAGATCATATGATACTTGTCTTTCCCTGTTTGGCTTATTTCGCTTAGGATAGTACTTTCCAGGTCCCTCCATGTCGTCTCAAAGGATAGATCTTTCTTACAGCTGCATAGTACTCCATTGTGTACATGTACCACTGCTTTTTTATCCATTCGTCTACTGATGGACACTTGGGCTGTTTCCAGCTCTGAGCTATTGGAAATAGTGCTGCTATGAACATGGGGGTACATATATTCTTTCTGATTGGTGTTTCAGGCTTCTTAGGGTATATTCCTAGCAGTAGGATCACTGGGTCAAATGGCAATTCAATTTTAAATTTTTTGAGGTAACACCATATTGTTTTCCATAGTGGCTGCCCCAGTCTGCATTCCCACCAGCAGTGCACTAGAGTCCCCTTTTCTCCACACCCTCGCCAGCACTTGTTTGATGATTTGTTGATGGCGGCCATTCTGACAGGTGTGAGGTGATACCTTATTGTTGTTTTAATTTGCATCTTTCTGATGAATAGTGATGTTGAACATTTCTTTATATGTCTCTTAGCCATTTGTATGTCCTGTTTGGAAAGTTGTCTATTTAGTTCCTCTGCCCATTTTTTAATTGGGTTCTTTGTCTTCCTTTTGTTGAGCTGAATGAGCACTCTATATATTTTGGAAATTAACCTCTTATCTGATGTGTCATTGGCAATTATGCTCTCCCATAGAATGGGTTGCCTGGGTTGCCTTTCCATTTTGGTGGTGATTTCTTTTGCTGTGCAGAAGCTTTTTAGTTTGATGTGTAGTCCCATGTGTTCATTTTTTCCTGTTTTTGTTTGTTTGTTTTTATTATTTTTTATTTTCACCCGAGGACATTTTTCCATTTTTTGTTCAGATAGAGTGGGAGGGAGAAAGAGAGAGAGAGAAACATCGATGTGAAAGGCACACATTGAGTGGTTGCCACCCTCACGACCCAACCAGGGCCGGGGACAAACTGCAACCGAGGTACGTGCCCTTAGCGGGAACCAAACCAGGGACTCTCTGAACCGCAGGCCGACTCTCTAACTCCTGAGCCAAACCAACCAGAGCCATTTTCTCCTTTGTTTCTGTTGCCTTAGGTGATGTATCTGAAAATTCTGCTGCATATGATGTCTGAAATTGTTGCCTACATTTTCTTCTAGGATTTTTATGGATTCATGAGTCACATTTAAGTTTTTTATCCATTTTGAATTTATTCTTGTGTATGATGTAAGTTGATGGTCTAGTTTCATTTTTTTGCATGTAGCTGTCCATTTTTTCCAACACCATTTATTAAAGAGGCTGTCTTTACTCCATTGTATGCTATTGCCACCTTTGCCAAATATTGTGCATATTGTCTTAGGTTCATTTCTGGGTTCTCTATTCTGTTCCATAGATCTGTCTGCCTGTTCTTGTGCCAGTACCGGACTGTTTTGTTTACAGTGGCTTTTTCGTATAATCTGAAATCTGGTAATGTGATCCCTCCAGCTTTGTTCTTCTTTTTTAAGATTGCTTTGGTTATTCGGGGACTTTTTTGGTTCCATATGAACTTTTGAAGTATTTGTTCTAGTTCTGTGAAGTATGCCCTTGGTATTTTGATGGGGATTGCATTGAATCTATAGATTGCTTTGGGTAGAATGGACATTTTAATGATGTTAATTCTTTCAATCCATGAACAAGTATGTGCTTCCACTTTTTTATGTCTTGCTTTATTTCTTTTTTCAATGTCCTGTAGTTTTCTGTGAATAAGTCCTTTATTTCTTTGGTTAAGTTTATTCCTAGGTATCTTAACTTTTTTGCCACGATGGTAAATAGGATTGTTTTTTAGTTTCTCTTTCTGTGAGTCATCATTGGCGTACAAGAATGCCATTGATTTCTTGACAGTAATTTTGTATCCTGCTACTTTGCCAAATTCATTTATTAAGTCTAGTAGATTTTTGATGGAGTCTTTGGGATTTTCTACGTATAATATCATGTCATCTGCGAATAATGACAATTTCACTTCCTCCTTTTCAATTTGGATCCCTTTTATTTTTCTTCCTGTCTGATTGCTGTGGCTGAGACTTTCAGTACTATGTTAAATAAGAATGGCGAAAGTGGGCATTCTTGTCTTGTTCCTGTTCTTAAGGGAAATGCTTTTAGTTTTTGCCCATTGAGTATAATGTTGGCTGTAGGTCTTTCATCTATGGCCTTTATTATGTCGAGATATGATCCCTCTATTCCCACATTGCTGAGCGTTTTTGTCAGAAATGGATGCTATATTTTGTTGAATGCTTTTTCAGCGTCTATTGATATGATCATATGATTTTTACCTTTCTTTTTATTTATGTGGTGTATCACATTTATTGATTTGCGAATATTGTACCAGCCTTGCATCCCTGGGATGAATCCCACTTGGTCATGTTGAATAATTTTTTTGATGTATTGCTGGATTCGCTTTGTTAGTATTTTGTTCAGGATTTTGGCATCTGTGTTCATCAGGGATATTGGCCTGTAGTTTCCTTTCTTTGAAGTGTCTTTTTCTGGTTTTGGAATTAGAATTATGCTGGCCTCATAGAACGAGTTTGGAAGTCTTCCGGGGTTGTGGGTTTTAAAAGGGAGTGGCCAGGTGTGCCTCCTTGAGGAAGCGCCATGTAAGCAGATTAAAGAAGCAAGGCAGACACCAAGGAGCTGTACAAGGGAGTATGTTGCAAGGGGGAGGATGGCCAGGGGAGGAGCCACAATGTGGGAATTTGCTGTTCATAGGAAGATAGGACATTGGCCAGTGTGGCCAGGGCAGAGTGAGTGATGACATCAGAGAACAGTGGTGAAGGGTATTATGATCTGTGAATACATTTTTTTTTCACATGTTTTTATTGATTTTTAGAGAGAGAGATACAAACATCAATGAGGGAAAAACATCGATTGGCCGCCTCCTGCACACCCCCTGCTGGAGATCGAGCCCACAACCTGGACATGTGCCCTGACCGGGAATCGATCCGGGACCTCTTGGTACAGGGTGGATGCTGAAGCACTGAGCCACACCAGCTGAGCCGTGAATAAATTCTTGAGTTTGAATCGTTTCTATGCTCCTGGTACCGAAAGCCCTGTTACGTTCCAGACCACTCGCGTGTGGCACTGGTTCAAAGCAGGAATTTTGCTCAGGGAAGTCTGATCCTTTGCCTGCATGTGCACAACAAATCAAAATCAGGTTTGCTGGGTATTTCAGATTCACATTTGAGGGTCTTATATTGTAAATACTTCTTAGGAGTATTATTGTAGCAATTTGAGCATCTCATCTAGAATTTTTTTTATATTTCTGTTTATTCATCTTCTTATCAAAAAGTCATTTTAAAAAGAGTACAAGAAGTTTATCTCATTTCCACAGCAATGTGTCACAGTATACAGTGTTTACAGTATACAGCGTGTCACAGTATACAATGTTACAGCATGCAATGTTTACAGTATACAGTGTTATAATATATTACGTGTTATATAGTATACATTATGTTAACAGTATAAAGTGTGTTGTTACAGTATACAGTGTGTTACAGTATACACGTGTCACAGTATACAGTGTTACAGTATATAGTGTCACAGTATACAATGTGTCACAGTATACGATGTGTCACAGTATACAATATGTTTACAGTATACAGTGTGTTACAGTATACAGTGTGTTACAGTATACAGTGTGTCACAGTATACACTGTGATATAGTATACAGTGTGTCACAGTATACAGTGTGTTACAGTATACAGTGTGTCACAGTATACACTGTGATATAGTATACAGTGTGTCACAGTATACAGTGTGTTACAGTATACAGTGTGTCACAGTATACAATGTGACACAGTATAGTGTGTCACAGTGTACAATATGTTTATAGTATACAGTGTGTTACAGTATACAATATATTTACAGTATACAGTGTGTCACAGTATACGGTATATTTACAGTATAGTGTGTCACAGTATACAATGTTTACAGTGTACAATGTGTCACAGTGTGCAGTGTGTCACAGTATACAATGATTAAAGTTCTGTTGGTCATAAATGCCCAAGTAAAATATGAACATGAGGAGAAGCTCAGATTTTTTAAAAATTAAGAATACAATGATGGATTCCTCTGAATCTGGGCCTTTATTTCATTCTGTTATCATCTCTGAGAATAATTGTAATGATGCCCTTACAGAGGAACTGATATCACTGCGTTGTTTTCAGTGGGTTTGTGGCTGTCCTTCCTCGTTATTCCTCAGTGGGGTTCGTGTCCTAGAAAATACTAGCATGTGCATTCGAGTGGAAGGGATTTCTTTATGTGTCCTCTCATGGGTGATCTTTCCTCCAACCAACCCCACAGGACTGAAGATCTTGAGGGTGATAAACGAGCCCACCGCGGCAGCCATGGCCTATGGTCTGCACAAGGCTGATGTCTTCTACGTCCTGGTGATCGATCTGGGCGGAGGGACTCTGGATGTGTCGCTGCTGAACAAACAAGGAGGGATGTTTCTGACCCGGGCGATGTCTGGTGAGAGTACAGGGAGAGTCACAGGCTCGGGCACTGACACATCTAATGTGCGGAGTGTTGATTTCACTGGTTTTTTTCAGTATTCTTTGACTTCATTTTGTATGTGTAATTTTATGCCACCATTTATATGTATTTACAGCAAAAAGTTAAGTGTCAGGAAATGACTGGGTGTCCCAGACGTCGAGTGACACTGCGGGGCAGCTCGGGGCCGGTGCTGTTCCCGGGGGAGCGGGCATCTCCTTCGGGAATCTGCTCCACAGTAGATGCTTCAGTGTCTCTGGGAGTGGGAGGGTTCTCGTTCCAGTCTTTCAAAAAGGTTTTTGTTTTACTTTAGTCGAAGGGATCAGTCAGCCTGTTAGAAGGGGGGCGCCCACCGCAGTGCCCCGCTTCCTCCCGGCTGGACTCCCCAGAGCCGCGGGCAGTGCTGGGGTCTGGACGACGTCCCTTCCCTTTACATCGACATTTTCTGCTTTTCAGCTCTGACTCGTCAAGCAGTGAGTTATTTTTTAAAGGAAAATGCCTGCAGGTACTTTTGAATTGTAAGAAGGACTTTCTTCTGTTGAATAATGACTTTTAGTGTTTCTGAACTGACACTTAAAAGTCAATTTGTGTTCTCAATCTATTTTCTGAAAAAATATTTGATATTAAGAGAGACTTCCTTTTACATCATTTAAAAGTTTAACCCAGATGTGCACTGTTTCTGTTTGTTTTTAACAAGTGGGAACACAGCCAGAGGAGACTGCTGGTAATTTCCCCGGGCTGGGTGTGGAACGAAATGGAGGTGTGTGTTTTTTAATTGATCTGAAGGAGAGAAACAACAATGTAAGAAAGAAACATCGATTGGCCGCCTCCCCCACGAACCGGACCGGGGATGAACCTGCCCTCTGGGCGCTGAGAAGCCAGCCCCCACCGTCTGCCCTTCAGGACGGGCTCCGACCGGCCACACTAGCAGGCTGCTCTGGTTCGACAGTGCACCTCTCCGTTCAGATCACCTCAGCCCGTTATTTTTAAGTGGTGTTTGTGTGAATAGAATCTTAAAACCCTAATTTCGGACTCTGTCATTCCATGTCATTTGTACGCATACAAGCCGCGCAGACCCGTGCGCACACGTATGCAGAGCTGTAACGCGAGCTTGTGCTTCTGACTCAGGAAACAACAAGCTTGGGGGCCAGGACTTCAACCAGAGGCTGCTGCAGCACCTGTACCGCCAGGTGTCCCAGACGCTCGGCTTCCTGCCGTCCCGGAAGGAGGAGGTGCACAGGCTGCGGCAGGCCGTCGAGATGGTCAAGCTCAACCTGACCGAGCACCCGTCCGCCCAGGTGTCGGTGCTGCTGACCGTGGAGGGGGCCGCGCAGGAGGCTCCGCGCGGAGGCGCCGGGCGGCCGCAGGACAGCCGGGTCCCTGCAGAGAAAGCTGGGGGACGGCAGGTTCTCTTCGAGACGGAGATATCCCGGGAGCTCTTCGACACCCTGAATGAGGACCTCTTCCAGAAAATACTGGTGCCCGTTCGGCAGGTGCTGAAGGACGGCCACCTGGAGAAGACGGAAGTGGACGAGGTGGTTTTGGTGGGGGGCTCCACCCGCATCCCGCGGATCCGCCAGGTCATCCAGGAGTTCTTCGGGAAGGACCCCAACACGTCTGTGGACCCCGACCTGGCGGTGGTGACGGGCGTGGCCATCCAGGCAGGGATCGACGGGGGCTCCTGGCCCCTCCAAGTCAGTGCCCTGGAGATCCCCAACAAGCACCTGCAGAAGACCAACTTCAACTGAGCCTCCCGGCCACTGATCTCGTCAGACCACCTCCTCCCGACCAGTCTCAGACATCTCAAAACTTCCAGACACGAAAGTCGCACACTCTGTGTTAGGGGCGACTGAGACCAGACGGATCTGTCTGATCGTGGAGGGGTGCCGTTGCCAGACACTTCTGAAGGGCAGGTGAGCACCGCGTTCGCTCGGATTCTGGAAGTAGATCATGTGCGTCTTACATTCTAGTCTGTAAACATTGCCAATCGTGGGTTCCCAGTTCTTACTAAATTGTATTAGCAGGAGCTGGTCTTGTGTTTACTCGGTTATCACATGTACTAATAATCTGAACTATACTTGAAGGGCACTGAGGTCAGATACTTGGGGTGGCTGGGAGACAGCAGTGTTGTTGATACAAGCTGCGTAGGAGTAATAACTGCCACATCGTATGACATTTACGTTCACGAATTCGGTGTCCCCTTGGTTCCATGTGATCTGCATTCTCCAGGTTTTTTAAATACATTCATTGGATCAGTTTCTCTCAAACAGCTGCAGATTCATGCCCACGCTCCGTGCATTCTGGCTCCTGCCCGGGGGCTCCCCGGCTCTGCCCGGGGTTCCCGAGTCCCCTCGCCGGCTCTGCCCGCTCTCTGCCCGGGGCTCCCGGGGCCCCTCGCCGGCTCTGCCCGGGGCTCCCGGGGCCCCTCGCCGGCAGACAGCGGGAGTTTCCATTACATTCGGGCCGTCGGTGTCCGGGTGCGGCCATGCTCACCGTCGCTGTGCTGCTGTCCGGACTAGCGGGCGGCAGGTGGTGGTGAGCGGCCGCCGCACGTTCCACGTCATTCCCTTGCCGTGAGCCTCGGAGAACCGTTTGCGGTGGATTCTGTTCTGCTGACCTTCCCCCACATGTAGTTTATAAACATCACTGCTCCCTACCATCTCTTTAAACATTCAGTTTTGGCCTTAAGGTCAGTGTTGAAGAGCAGAGAAGTCCACGGGTCTTGGAGGTGACGTGGGCAGCCGCGTGAGTGTCCCCAGCCAGCCCCTGTCGCGTTCTGTTCGTCTGTTTCCTTTTAGAGCAGCTCCAGGGACCAAGAAGGAAGAGACGCAGTTTTGTTTCTGTGGCGCCCATGTTATGTGAAGATGTTTTTCCTTCGTAAATAAAGACTTGCTTCGAATCATTACTCAGAAATTGTGATCTGCTCGCATCGTTGTTTTGTATGCTTTTTCCAGTGTTGAAAAGTATGTTGAACTTTCAGTTATTGAAAAAGAACTAAGTAAACTCATTTCAACAACATCAGAAAATGTCAGCTTCTCAGTAAAAAGCTGTGTTAATATTTTTGCAGATCTAAAAAAAAAAAAACTTTCTTAGCAATTTCATTGCTATCGAAATACAATATCAAACACACATAGAAAATGTCTGAAGTAGGTAGAAAAATATAGAATCTCAGTTGACGTTTTCTTTTAGAATGAATGGAGAGATGCCAAAGATGAACCCTTCCCTGCTTTACAAAAGTGTTCAGGTGTTCTCTTGGACTTGATACATCTTCAATAGATTTTAGAATTGAAAAAAACCTTTTCTTGAAGCTCTTTAAACGTGGTCAATTCACCTAAATCTCCACATACAGTATCAGCTTTAACCTAAAGCATTTTAAGATCTTATTTAAAAAGCTTGAATTTTTCCACTATGAGATAGTTTAGGACAATCTGCTAACACTTTTTAGAGGAAATAATATGTGAAAGCAGGCAGAGATTCTCATACTCCCAAGTGGGAATTTAACTGGATTGTGTCTGAAAATCACAGTGTTGGAACCGGGGGCGGTAGTTTCCGTGTTCTCTAGCATACTCCCGCCTTGGAAGGGTGCAGTCGTGCCTGCGGTCATAATTTAGGAGGCTCTATATAGACTTGACATCAATGTCGCTTTATTTATTTAAAAGATAAAAATGAATCCTGAAAGCAATTGTTGATGCCCAACCACCTGAAGACATTTTTCATACAACAAACTTACTACATTTTTGGTGGTTCATCTAGCTATGCTTTTTGAGGTATATGACTTAAAATAGGAACTGTCTTGTGTGATTAGCATATGTGAATGAGTAATTTATTTTGTATCAGGAATGTTTGGTACTGTGTTTCCACTCACACCTCTAGATTCTACTTTGTATAACGTGTACATAGCAGGTTGTGCCTCTTAAATGTGTGTGTGTACAGGTCACCCATGTTTTAATGTAAATAAATATGACTTTGCAGTTTGTTTAAACTGTGTACTTTATTTTCCATTCAGGACTAGGCCGGAGACACCCTTTTTTTTTTTTTTTTTTTTTTTGGTATGTGCCCCTAGCGGGAACCAAACCCAAGACTCTGGTCCGCAAGCCCCGCTGAGCCAAACCGGCCAGGGCCAGAGCACCTTCTCCGAGGTGTGAATAGAAGGGAAGGGGGAGAGAGCCGATCGGATGCTCGTGGCACGGGACCTACTTCCTGCGTCCTGCCTCCAGAATCCCTTCCTTTTCTGCTCACTTCCCTCATTTGGCAGAGACCGTCACTGTATTATAGAACAGTCTGCGGGATCCACGGGCCAGGCCACGGCTTCTGACTGCGGTGGAGCGAACCCTACGGGGACTTGGAGAGTTCCGGAATAATCCCACCTACTGGGCTGCTGTCCTTTGCTGGATGCTTGATACTTAATACTTTTCTAATAAAGCTTATTGTTTTTTTGGACAAATAGTACTTTTGTAGAGAAATTGGTGAATGCCATCGTTTCAAATGAGCCCTTAACAATGGTAGACTTGATCCTTCCATGCTAAGTACTGTGATTCCTTCATAGGTACTTGACCATCACCAAGGGACCCAATAGAGGAGGGAATACAGGGCCACTTCCGTACTCACTTCACTTAGCACACGTGCGCGGTTCCCTGCCGGGCGAGGCAGGCTGTGCTGTGGCTCCCAGGAGCAGCCTTCTCGTAGTCGCTGCTCGGTGATCCTCCTCCTCGAATTTGGGCTGATGGGACAGCCCGCGAGTGAGCAGGACCGGCAGAGGGTCCCTTCTGAAACCAGGTCACAGTGAGCTGGTCTCTGCCTTGGGCACACACACTCGCTCTCTGTAAGGACCGGGCTGTTCTGCTGGGGAGTACAGGTGGGAGGGGGCCTGGAAGACGGTGGCCTGTCGGTGGTCAGGCAGCCCGGCCAGCTGCACCGCCTTTTGGCTGTGCGGGAGCCTGAACCTCCTTCCTGGTCAGGGCTTCCGATGATGCCGCCACCACTGACATCAGAATGGAATCTCACGAGAAATCTTTTTCTTTTTTTTATCCTCACCTGAGGATATTTTCCCGTATCACACACATTGCTGTGTATGTAGGCTTTCATAAACATCGGCTCTGTGTTTTCCTTTTTGTTTATTCAGTGGTGTGTTCCAGGAGGAGAAAAGATGGTGCGGAGTGAACGGAAGCTATGCGGACTGTCTCCCAGGACCAAACTGGAATTACAACTAAGATAAAGAAAATTCATCTGGAAAAACCAACTGAAAAGCACCTGGACATAAAGAGGAGTCCAAATCGAGACTGACAGGAGGTGTGACACGCAGGAGGGCTGGCTGGGTGTCCATAGGCAGCATCTGAGGGCTGTCTTAGCTGTGAGCAGTTTCCTCTGAGAAGTTGGGGGTCTAAACCCCAAGCTGGCTCCCCAGCACAGAGTGGCAGAACTGGGCAGGGTGCCCACATAACACCCGGCTGAGAAAGTCACCAGAGATGAGGTTCTATATGGCAGGGAGAGGCACAGGGAACAATGGGACTTCCCTAAAGGGCAGGGCACAAAATCACAGCTAAAGCCACTCACCTTGGGCTCTGGCAGAGGGAGGGCAAACTGGACTGGAGCTGCTTAGGGAGAGTTGGGGATTTGTGATGCTGGGGAGAGAACTAGGAAGGAGGCCGGCAGGAGTCCTATCCCCTTGCTGCAGTAGCCAATTTTCTCAAGAAGCCCCTGAAGGCAAAAGCCTTGGGATAAGTGAATCTTTGCCTGGTCAGCAACTCTACCAAGGAAAGTAAGACTAGGCATTGGTGTTCAGTGTGACCCCTGACATACCCAAACCCAGCAGAGGGAGCCACAATCTGCAGAACATCAATACAGAAAGTTTTTGACAGGTTCAAACCCTGCTGAGACAGTGAAAATGGTAAAACAAATAAATCCCAAATGAAAGAACAAGAGAATTCTACAGATGACAGCTAAATGAATGATAAGCAAGTTATAAAATATAGAGTTCAGAGTAATGATTATGAAAAAGCTCAACAGCATGAATAAAGATATAGAAACAATGAAAGTCAACCAATTGGAAATGAAAAACAAGCAGAAATGAGGAATGACATAGCAGAAATTAACACATTGGAAGGAATAACCAGCAGGTTAGAGGAAGCTGAGGATCAGATCAGCAAATTAGAAGACAGCAGAAAAAATAATCAGAGAATCAAAAAGAAAAAACAATTAGAAAACAGGAGGACAATGTAAGAGAGCTGTGAGACACCATGAAACAACATCCACATCATAGGAGTATCAGAAGAAGAAGTACGTGAGAAGGATTAGTGAATCTATTTGAAGAAGTAGCAGAGCCCTGGCCAGTTTGGCTCAGGGGTTGAGCATCGGCCTGCGGACCAGAGAGTCCTGGGTTCGGTTCCTGCTAGGGGCACGTACCACAAAAAAAATAATAATAATAATAATAATAAAGAAAGAAAGAAAACAAGAAGTGGCAGAAAAATTCCCTAACTTGGTGAAGGAAAAAGGCGTACAAGTTCAGGAAACACAGAGAGCCCCAACCAAGAAGAACCTAAAGAGGCCCACAATAAGACACATCATAATTAAAATGCCAAAAATTAAACACAAGGAGAGAATCTTAAAAGCAGCAAGATAAAAACAACAGTTACCTACAAAGGAGCCCCCCTAAGGCTGTCAGCTGATTTCTCAACTGAAACACTACTAACCTGAAGGGAATGGCATGAAGTATTCAAAGTAATAAAACAGGGACCTGAATCCAAGACTACTCTATCCAACAAAGCTATCATTCAAAGAACAAGGTAAAATAAAGAGCTTCCCAGACAAAAAAAAAGTTAAGGGAATATATTAGCACCAAACCAGCATTGCAAGAATTGTTAAAGGAACTGCTGTAATAAGCAGAAGAAATATATAGAGAAACATAGGCATAATAAATAAAAATGGCAATAAATAAGTACATATCAATAATAACCTTAAATGTAAATGCATTAAATGATCCAATCAAAAGACACAGAGTAGCTGAATGGATAAAAAAGCATGACCCATATATATATTATCTACAAGAGACCTACCTTACAAGAAAACACTCACGCAGGTCAAAAGTGAAGGGGTGGGAACAAAATGTTCGAAGTAAATGGAAATTTAAAAAAAGCTGGAGTAGCAACATTCATATCCAATAAAATACACTTCAAAATGAAAGCCATAACGAGACAAAGAAGGCCACTAAATCATATTGAAAGGATCTATCCAACAGGAGGTTATAACCTTGGTAAACATATATGCACTCAATATAGGAGCAGAAAATACATTTTAAAACTTCTGTAGGACTTCAAGGGAGAAATTGACAGCAATACAATCATAGCAGAAGATTTCAACACTCCACTGACATC